AAAGTCTTCCAAGCACCCAGTTAGAAGATGAAACTCATGAACCCGAGTTTTAAAGCACAGGCTGAGAACTCGCACAACCACGTCGCTCGAGAGAACTGAGAATTTCCTTTGTCCCAGCGTAAAGAAAGGAAAAGTTTTGGAAAATACCTCTCAGCTCAGACCTGCCCCCTCCCCAAGTTAGTATCTAGAGCTTTAGCAGAAGTGTATTCTTGAGGACCTCATTGTTTCTGAATACTTACTCATGCAGCCACTGAAGGTTAGCACAGCCATGTGCTAACTTTTCCATGAGTTACTGAGATACTCTGAATGGGGAAACAGACCACCCTGTACATCAGCTATTTATCTTCTTGCACCACATGTGGTGGGTGAATGGGAATCTTTAGCTGCAGAGATGATTCATGACCTCTGAGACATTTAGGATCCTGCTTCCCGGTCAAGATAGCAAGCAGGTTATACACCTTGATGGATCAGAAGTGAGAGAGGAAGGTTTCTTGGAAAGCACATAGCTCAGTTTCCCCCTATATGCTGGGAATCCACTGTGCCCATCCACACAGAAATTCAGCGCCTGTGCATCCAACTTTACCAAACCCCTGGCTGCAGAATGCTTTCAAAACTTTTCAAATTTAAGCCAAATATTTGGTCAGAAACCAGCTCAGCAGCGAGGCCAAGACAAACCTCAGTTATTAGGGCAGCAAGAGTCAGATGAGGAAAGCTGCCGAGGTATTCAGAACGTACAGATGCAGCTTGCGGGGCTAAGGGAGGCACACGAACGTAATGCTGCGCACACCAGCAACGCTCCTGATAAAGTCACTGTGTGTCTCGGTTCTTTGGTGCACAAGCTGTGGCCAGAACCCTCAGCGTTGCTGCTGGTAAAAAGAGAAGTTTCAGGTTTATACTCAGTTCATTAATACTGTGGCTAATTTTCAAGGACAGCTCTCTTCTGTAGGTATTTTAAGGATTATTAGGACCAGAGCGCACATCTGTTCACATTTCCTCCTTGTTCTCTGCCCTGGGTTAAGAATAACATGGCTTTCCCAAGAGATACTTGTGCTTAAAGGACTCTCAGATGCAGCCATCAGTGGCCTCCAATCTACAGCACTTGTCAGGATTTAAGCCTCTTTCAGATGCTTGAGACAACTCCCCAGACTCCCTTCTGGGAGCCACTGTTGCCTTGTGCCAAGGGCAAGAAGTTAGTCAGAAGTTTTACCTCTGTCTTTTCCAACAGCTGAAAATATTCTCCGGGCTTTGTCAGGCAGCCTGAGCCCCTGAAAGGACCGCTTTTATACAAGTGCAGAGAAATGCTGCTGTGACTTTGGAGTTCTGACGGATTTTAGAGGTCTCAGGTTCTCAAGTGCAGATATTTGGTTTGGACTAGAGGCGAGAACTGTCATCCTGCCTATGTTTGGACAGAAAAACATTCCTGGCTTTGGTTTCTGCGCAGTGTCTAAAAGCAATGGAACACATTACACTTTGAGGGAATCCATATGGTGTAATGAGGAATAGGAAAGGAAGGCAGGGTACAGAACTCACTTTGCTTTCTCTTCATGCTGTTGGCAGCAGTGACCAGGACCTGGATATCATTTCTAGGGAGCTGGGATTTTCTAAGCAAACAGGCAGGGATGCATATCCCGAGATCTCTGCGTGCAATAAATGTCAGATGGAAAAGCAGGCTCTAAACAGCTGTCAGAAGGGAATGAACGTTGCATAACATCGCAGAAAACCTACAATGGTCAACCAGAGACTACAGAGAACATGAAGGACCGGATTGTTTGCACACCACCACGCACTTTCCTTGCTAAATCACCTCAGTCTTGCTTTGCTCTTTCCAATCTTAATTGCTGAAATGTTTAGCTTAAAGTGGAGCTGCTGTATAACGCACAACATATGGCAACGTTCCCAAGGGCAAATTTTAGCTCAAAAATACTTTCCCACTTCCATGGATCATTCTCAGCATTTCTCTCCTCACCTTTACTCAGCGTTGTTACCAAGTGTTGCTTTCAGCACCATTCCTAAATGGTTCTCTCCGCTACATTTGCCACTTCGAAGAGGAAGGTTAGCCCTGGTGCAGCAGCCAGGAAGCACACCGGCACCGCTTCATTCAAGTCCCCAAAACGACGCAAGAACAACCGATTACAACATATCTATACCCACGCTAAGAGGCGCTACCCCGAGAACAACCGTTAGCGCTAAAACTGCAGCTGTCTGACTACCCAAACCGAATCTCACCTCTCATGAAACCTCTTATTTATTCATGGATTATGTGCGTATTATTCAGCGTTGGAACAAACTGCTCCCGTCGCCTTCCTCTGTCATCAACTGGGAGTTCTACGTGGAGGCGGGGAAGGCAGGGAAAGAAGGACCTAACATCTGATCATGTCTGATGGCTCAAAGCATAAGCATCAGCGTTTCATCTCGAGGGCACCAGTCCAAATCCAGGCCACAGGCAGGGGAGGGGGAGTGCACACAGCTGAATGTGATTTACCACATATTGGCTCCTTGGTGGCCCATGTGAAAAGAATTAGCAAATCCTCATATAGCTCTTATTTTAAAAAGGACTTGCATATTTATCCCTTCATCTCACAACTTGGGGGGAAAAAAAAAAAACAACAAACCAACCACCCAACATTCTTGCATGGTTCCTGTGGGAACGGCAGTTAAAACTTGTACTTTTTCAGTGGGTCATGGACTAAAAAGGATTGTATGTGCTGTAGCAGGGAGCAACGTTCCCCAGGGAGGGGGAGAGTAAGAGCGTTCTTTAGTCCACAAGCAGTCTCCCACTTTCTATCATGCAGCCCCTCGTGATCAGCATCTGCTGATGTTCCTAGAAAAATCCATGGTCTGCTGAATAGCAAATGAGCTGAAAACAAGGGCTCGCTCCAGCTGGCAAAGAAAACGGAATATTTTGCTTAACTGTCAATTTGGAGCTGCAGCTCTCAGAAGTGCCTGTACTGGCCTGACCTTGTGTTACCAAAGAGACACGGTCTTGACCCTAGGCAGAAGCTCAGCAGTCCAGTCATGGCCACGTAGTGACTAGAATTTCAGTAACGACATGAGGGAGAAATTTTTATCAACACAGAGATAATAAAGCGTGTCCATAACGGAGAAAGAATCGCTTCCCTGGGCGGGGATATTTTTGTTGTTGCTCTTTGGTGGGCTCTGTTAATAACCTGTAATCCTCCTGAAACCCTGGGCGCAGCATGGACTAGTGGGAACATAATCAAAGGAGAGATGGGGTCTTTTCCTGACTCTGCCTTTCGACAAGCAATCTCCCTCCCTCTGCTCCCTCAATCTCCTGCTGCCTGTAAAACGCAGAGTTTTGGCCACACTTCCAAAGGAAGCGCTTTAGAAACCCTGGTTCCGAGTACGAGATGAGCTGCCGTCTGATAGCTGAAGTTTTACACCAGAAAGCCTCAGCAAGATCTTTCCCTTTCAAAACCACTGCTGTAAGGTACAGAGCTGCGTTTCAGATGGCAGAAGCCCCGGTGAAAACTAGGAGCTCCCCAGCTCACGCGCAGACCTGTCCGTCTCCTCTGTGGGAGACCAACTGGTTATAAACACCAAGCAGAAAGTTACTCACTATCCACGCTGATTAAAGTAAGGGGAATATTTGTCTTTTGGCTTTCAAGGAGCATTTGCCTGCTGCTCTGATATCTCCTTGCCTCTCTTCAGCCCCTTGCTGTTCCAGTAACCACCAAGAATAGCAACTGGTAGCAAAAGGAGAAAGGGGAGGAACATTTTCCCCACCTTGCCCCCTCCCTTCCTCTCCCATAATCCCTAGCTAAACTTAACGCAGCTCCTAACCTCAGTCCAGGCTCTTGGCTTTTTTCCTGCTTACTACAGATATCCTTTTCTTCTCACACTTACAATTCAAGCCTGGATCGGAGCAGAGAAACTCTTTTTGCAGGCTGAGAGCACAGGCCAGGTTACACGTGAAGCAGACGAACCAGCAAGCACACAAAGCTAACCGTTTCACCCAGCGTGGCGCTCCATCAGCCACAAGTCACTCTCTGAGCGCGGCCCTCCACGTAAGCAGGCTTATCGGGAAAGAGAAAACAGCAGAACCTTCTTCACTTCTCCAAAGCCTCAGACTCCCACGGAGCCAATCCTGTCACCGGGGGCAACGCTTGCCAAAAACATACCTGGCACATACAGGCATCTGCTTGCCTTCTGTTATCTCTCGTTCCTGTGGCTCCACTGACCATCTTGTTTCTTCTCTGCTGTGGTGCAGCAATTCCCTTCTTCTTACTAGGAAAATGAAAGGGTCAAGATGGTGCTTAAAGGCTCAGCTCGTGCTCCTCAAAAGCAATCACAGCAGGAACAGGGCAATGACAGAATATACTCCCAATCCGAATGCTACGTTTACAAACTGCTGCTGTAGTTCTTAAGCAGGTATATTATCCTGTACAAAATTCCATCTCTAATTTGGCCAGTGAACTTCAGATAGAAAAACAACATCAGGAGATCTTGAAATGGAACTTGTCTTTCCAAACGTAAAATTGGGGGGAGCTTTTCTTTCCCTCCCAAATCTCTTCTCCTTAGCCAGGGAAAAAAAAAAAAAAAAGAAATCTCCATTTTCTGCAACAGCTGCACAGCTTGGAAGTCAAAGGCTGTGGTCTTCCTACCATTTTTTTTTCCTTTAGGGAGAATAATCACTTGGAAACCTCTCTTCCTTTAGTATCCAAAGAGATTAGTAAAAAAAATGAAGCAGATGCTCCCTGCCATTTTTTTTTCCTGAATAAACTGACACCTTAGGCATAAGAGATGAGAGTAACAAAGCAGATACTGAACAGTTTGCCACCTCTGTCCCCTCCTCCCCAAGTGCCAGCACACATAGACATGTAACACACGCGATGAAGTATCGACCGGTTTTACCTTTAGTAAACTGCTTTTGGATTTGACATAGAGGCTTGTGAAAGAACTACATTTAAAAAAAAAAAAAAAACAACCCAAAAATACTTAGCATGGGATTGGGGTAATACATAGGCTGGAAAATTACTGATTTGCAACAAATAGTGGTTAAAGCAGCTCTTACATTACAAAGATGGCTCAATCTTGTACTTTTTGAAAACAGCCTTTGCAAGGTACTTTCCTATCACTGCCCTACCACAATACAGCACTCATTTCGGGGAAATGTCTGGTTTATTCCAAAGGAATTTACACTAACATGAACTTCTAGGAAGCAAGCAAATTAGTATCTGGACCTCTGATTTTTACCAAAGCTGATTCTGAAATTCAGCTTTAGGTTATCTGGGTGTTAAATCTAACCCCGACAAATAATTCAGGCGTTAAACCTGATCCGTTTTCACAGCTCAAAAAATTTCACTGAAACTGTAACAGCCTCAAGTGAATACTTTGACAAAGATTCCCTGTAAGAGTCAGAGGTTGTGACGCAAGGCTTTCCCACAACACCAAGGGATTGTGAAGAAATAATAAACACTCCTTTGACTACCATACATTCCACAAAGTTAAAAAATTCTTTAAAATATTTGCCACCTCTTTGCTAATGAACAAAGATAGTAGAGGAACACGGTATTTTTGCTTGTTTTAAATATTGCTTGCAATACGTTACAAACAGTATGCTTGTGTATAATTGCGTCATTGAAGAGATACATCACACACGCAAACACGTATGTACACATACACACACACGCACGGCACACTAGCCCTACAGGTTGCTGCTTCCTCCAACAGTTACTTTACAGGATGGATTCAGTGGATAAAATTTTCAGACAGTTTGTCAAACACAATACAGCTGGATCCGTATTTCAGCTACTGTTCGTACATTCATTTTAATGCTCAGGAAAAAATATACTTTATTTTATTACGTTTTGCTGCAAAACAAAGAAACAAAAATGAAATCCCTTTTTCTCATGTCTTAATTATTACTATTTATTTTCTTTACACTTTGATTGGAGTATTTAACACCTGCCTTTGGCATTATGGATAGAAAGCTCAGGAGTCTCTGAACACACAGGTGGGCCAAAAAAAAAAAAAAAAAATATATGGAAGAGTGTCACTTAGAGGTTAGAAATATTTGTTGTAACAACGTATTTTCTCCAATCAGTGTTCACTACTTTATCTCTAAGGCACACACTCTTGTCTTTAGGATCTCATTACATCCAGATTTGCCTCTGCCAGTCCAAGTTCTTGCCGAGCCCACGAGCCCTAGCTCCGACAGCACGCCGTCGTAGGACGTTACCTCCCTACCCCTGACAGGCATCGGGGAGAACGGATGCCACGACCGATCTCCTCTGGTATCTGCCCACGTGAAGCGCAAGCATACGCTTCGCCACCGCCTGCCAAAGGACAAGGTAGATCCTCCTACAGCACCTCCTCTCGGAGCAACGCAAGGCTGCAAATCTGCTGGGCGCTAGACACGACGCAGTCGCTGGATGCCGTTGGAAACATCCGCATGTGGAAGTCTATCCGCCTCCAGTCTGAAAGTCTCTTAGGCCTTCAGCAGACAGGCAATATTCTTCACTGCGGGTCTTTCTGCCGGATCAGCAGCACAGGGTGAGGGGGCTGCCTGCCCTCAAGCACCGCTCCTTGGCCTCAGGACGCTGTAAGCAGAGGGGACTCCCTCCACCTCCACCCAAGTCTCATCAGTTATTCGCTTCCCTCCCCCTCAGGATGGCTTTGCAGGTAGCCAAACACATCAGCCTGACTAGCGCTTCTCGTCTAAAATGCAAACAAAAAGGGAGTAAAGGAGGGAGGTGGGAAGGGGAAGGGAAGCAAGCGTATCCTTAGACAAAGATCTGAATCCTCTCCCGGATAGCCTGCCGGCAGATGGGGCAGACAGTAAGGGCTGTGCTGCAGTCTGGGCAAGAGCCATGTCCGCACTGGAAGACCAGTTTGATTTGGTCATCGATGCAAATAGGGCAGGTGATGCGCTCTTCCATCTGCCGGTAGCGGTTCTGCAGCTCCTCCATGAGCTTCCTCTGATCCGTGGATTCAGAGCTCGGGCTGCACTCCACCTCGGTGCTGTCTGCAGGGGTGGAGAGCAGGAAGAGGGTTAGTCACTAGTGTGCTCTGCCTCATGCGCTGTCTCCTTAATTTGACTCTGCCCCTCAAGAGCAGCAGTTAGGTCAGACTAAACTCTCTTCACTGAGCCTTATCCAGGGATTCCTCAAATAAAAAGCTTGAGATGATGCTTTTTACAGACTGGACAGTGTTGCTTTCCTCCATTTAGCTGCTCAGCTGGTCTGTGTGTGTGTGTGTGTATGTTTCTGTTTGAGTTTTTTTTTTTTAAAGAAAACAAAACGTTGTCTGAAAGTCCTGCCTTGGTGTTCTGCTGCTGCTACCTTCAAGTAAAAACATTCAAAGCTGGTTGTGATGCTGTGCCATATGAGTCCAGGAATACTTACAGTGCTATGAGTGCTATGTTCTCTCAACCTCCTGTTCACATTTGGGATTCAAATTTCTGGTTAAGTCTTTCAGGATACACATGGTAAAACAAGAAGAAACCATTTGATATCACTTATGTTGCCTTTTGCTTACATGAAGCTATACAAATAGAGTCATTTGGTCAGCCCTAGGAAATGGAAGAACCCCAAATGCTGGACAACTGCCAGCTTAGGTAAATAGACTTCTCCTGGTTTCAGCTTAACACAGCCCACTGTTAATCTTCTGCTCCTTGATCTTTGATTAGGCAGCTTTACACTTCAACATAGATGTCCCTTTCCCCAACATCCTAGAATTAGTTGCACTTCAGTGGTGCAAGAAGTTGTTTCAAATCCATAAAGGTGAAGCAAGTTTGGGGACGGGGAGCTTGCTAAGGGCAAACACTGAAGACATCACTGATAGGGAAGTCCTGCTGATATTTTCAGAGACCTTGATGTTCCTCCTCCAGTGGAAATCTGCATGCACGTTTCATTTGGAATTCTCATCGTTATTTTCTTGCCAGACTGACAAATACTCCAGCCTACTGTCAGGTAAACTTGCTATTTTTGCGTTATGGAGTTCCAAAGAAATTTCTGTCTTGGCTGGCTGTGTATGTCCAATGCCACGTGACTGATTCTTGGTTCCCCTATGCTTTTGTCCAGGCATCAAGTCACAAGACTACAGCCTGACTCCGACAAAGGAGTCCACAACACTAAGCCATGAGCAGCAGGACAGGCAATTCATTCTCGTGTGCACTTGCCCTAAGAGTGACCTCAGCTAGAAAGACATCAGCTCTCACAACCGCTACAGAAAAAGCTTCAGTGGGCAACCTGCATTAACTCTAAGGCAAGAGCAAATCTGCTTCCAGCTTGCTGACACGTGTAACGTTGCTCATTCTGGACACTGAGTAACGTGGACAGGAGACAATCTGTTTAATGGGCTAAAGAGCTTTATCGAAACAACCCAGCTCGATGATTCCTGGATAGCTGGCTAGTGCTAATTTCAGCTGTAGGCACTGTAATTTCAGCCAAGGGAGAAGCAAGGCTTTCACAAGATGCAGTTTTTCCTTGCTCACAAACTTTCACTGTTCAATCACCGCCCGTGAAAACGGTTAGACTGACACATGGAGAGCCTGGTATTTGCTTTCAATACACAAAATAAGCCAGGCCCAGGGCAAGCTTTCTCAAATGTCCTCTCCTGTCTAGGCCGCTTGAGCTTGGCCCATGACACCTGAGAGAATCTACCTTTTCCTCTCTAAAGGTGGTCAATGCAACAGGCACCCCCCCACACCCAAAATCAACTCCCTTCCTCATGCTCATTTCACTGAAAACCCTCGATGCCGCTCAAAGTAATGCTATGCAGGACCCCTCCCACAGCACTTAACAGCAGGAACAGCAAACATACCTTGTTTCAGCTTTTTGGTTATTGTCACTTGACATTTGATGCACTTCTTCATTCTCCTGGAGCATTCTACCATGAATGACACAAGAAGAGATCACAATTAAGCCCGCTGATGCCAGAATCAAGAGGAAGACCACAGAGTCAAAAACATCGGCTTTGAACAGCCTGAGACCTCCCTGGATGATTAAGAGATTGCTTCTACATGGAAATGAGGACACTACCTTCTTTCTGAGCTACGTCCTAGTCTCTTAGTTCAGTATTTCCTATGCCAGTGGCAAATACAACTCCTTTAAGTCCTCAATGCTCTGTGCTACTGGAACTGCTGCACTACGGATCAACACACCCCTTTGCTCTCAGGGAAAAGGAAGCAGCTCTGGCACACAGTCCTTACCAAACTCCCTGTGGTCAGACTGTGAGTGTCTTGTGAGATCATAAACTTGCCAGTATGTTTGAGCAGGCTGCCATTAAAACAACTGAAATGTGACCAAGCCAGTAACAAAAGCCAGAGAAGAGGGAAATCCTTTTCAGGAGGTTTTTGATGGATAAAGCACTGCTAGCTAGAACTGAAACATCTGGCTTTCCTTCTGAATTATCCAGGGCACCTGTAAGCACAAGCAAAGCTGCCTGGGGTCCCAATTGGCAGGTAGTCAGGACACTCTGTGCTTTTCGTAGATAGCTTTGGACATCTTAGATAAGATGGTGGCACTGAAATCCTGTTGGGGTTGTTTTGGGACACAAACAGCACACTAGCTTTATGTCTAAACAGAGCTTGATTTATGAAAGTCCAGCTATGGAAGCTATGTGGTGGAACAGGAAAGACATATTAGAAGAAAAAAAAAAGAGGAAAAAAACCCCAGAATGGACTTACCTTCACATACGATACTGTGCTGGCATGGGAAGAAATGGATGAGCAAGGCCAGCTCTGAGCAGACCAGGCACTCTGTGGGGACTGCCACACTCGAGACACTAAGGTTGGTCATCGTGTTGGGGGTGGTGTGCACACGGCGAAGGCTGCAGGTGATGGCTGAGCTGTCTGAAGAAACCTGCTGCTCCCTGCAACCACAAACATGTAACAAAATTTGAGCCACATACTCTAGGCCCTCCTTCAGCAACCAGATAACGTTGCGTTGATCCCTGGCAAACATTCCACGTGGAGACACAGCAGCAGATGCTCAGGTAGCATAAACTTGTGAACCTTCACTGCCCTGGTGGGACCGACTCAGCCTGTAGTAGCTGGGATTCTGACTGGTTTTATCTCAAAAAAAAGGGAAAAAGCACAGATGACTAATATTTACCCAAGCTGAAACTGCTCTTTTGGAGGGCAACAGTATGGTATTGACAGTACCATCATCTGCTGGGAAGAGTCAGCCTTCAGGAGCTATTTAAAAAGTGCAGCCCTAAGGATCCTCTGTATTTGCATGTTCCTGAAAAGTGCCTCAGGTCGTTGCCTGGGAGCCTACCTCCTACATAACACATGCTCAGATTCAGACTTCTATCCTGGCATTATGAGCTCCAAATCCCTCAGCATCCAATCCATCCATTACCTTTACTGCTAGCTAGACCTACTGCCTAAACTGCAAGAACGATTAATGATTGAATAGAAGGGACAAGGATGGCCATTTACTAAGCAAATGCCTTCAGTACCGCCACAAAATCCTCGTCCCACTGGGAGTATTTGAAGGGATGCTTTTTGGTCTTTTGACACAAAGTCAGTACATTTTGGGGAGAAAACTGCTATCTAGCTTCCTATCAAAGTGCCAGCAGCTTCATTATAAATGCATATAAACCCCAGATACTCTCCCTCTTCTTGACATATTAATTAACCAAGCAGCTTAAGAAGGTACAGCTAACTATCCTGTCCTGATGCTGGGACACACCATGGTGTACTTAGGCCTATGAGCTAGCTTGCAGCACTCGGTCTGCAGTGGCTGCCTTAACTCTGCAGACACATACCCATATCCTCTGGTCAAACCCCAACACAGCAGCTGAAACCAGTACACTGTTATGAGAAGTGTCAGTCTGAAAGAGCTGGCGCTCCTTAAGCAAAAAACAACTTAATCCAACATGTACTTCACTGACAAAATTCCTACAGAAGATGTTTAAAGGGACACATTTCACCTGTTATTTACAGTGGACCAGAAGCACGGCCAATGACAGCAGCTGCTGCGTGGTTCCTCCTCCAGGGGTGACGACTGTGGCTCTGTGCCCTCAGATCAAACAGAACTCTACTTTCGTGTTTGCCAAGTCAAAACCCAAACAAATGTTTTTCTCAGAACCTGAGATAAAGCCATCTTTGACTTGCTACTCTCCCTTTGGCATTTTCTCAGCTATTTCTCTTATCAGTTGAAAAACAAGCATTTATCGAGCTCTGGAATAAATTCTGTAGGTTCTGGTGCCCACTCTTCTGTTGCACTTCCTCTCTGTTTAGACTTTAAATATCTGTAGCTGCAGAATCCAATGAAAGTAAAAGAGAACTTAGAATTACTCTGCAAGAGAGAAGTTGCTCTTGGCTTCAGTGGCCAGTCTTCTTGGACTGCCTCAGGGCTCTCTAAGTCAAGAGGCCCAGTTTGCACCAAGCAGTATTAGCCTGCTTTTCCCTCTCTCAAATGGCAGCATCCACCCTTAAATAACCCCTCCAGAAAGACAGGATCAGCAACCACCTCCAGATGAAACAGGAGGTGCTCAGACCGACATCCAAAGCGTTTCAAAGATGCTTCATCCCTGCTGGGACGACACCTGCATGCAGTGACAGCACGGTGCTGCGGGAGCACTCTGCATTTTGCAAGGAAGCAAACTGCAGCTGGTTTCCAGAGGACATGGTTTACCTGAATTTCTGTGCAAAGTCTTTGACGATCTGGACAATCCTTCCATCTGTAATGAGGTCTAAAGGAGACTTTCCCCGATGGTTTGCATAATTAATATCTGCTCCTTCTTGTGCTAAGTAACACGCAATTGCAGTTCCGACATTCAGCTCTACATTTCCCAGAAAGCCAGAAGCCTGCAGCTAAAAGATGTTGAGAAACACTCTCTGTTAATAGAAGAAGTTTCTGTTATGTGGCTTTGATCTGTATCAAATTCTAAACAAAGTCTTAATCCTTGTACTTACAATTTAAAGCGCAACTCAGCGTTCTTTTTCAAAAACACAAAAAGATCCTTCAGCGTGTAAATAGCAGGTTCAAATCTTGCATTTCAGGAACAAGAGTGCCTAAGACTGGTCCTAACTGGTGCTGGTCATTACTAATCATAGTAACAGGCATTCTCTTCTTGAGGTAGTAAAAAGTATGCCAAAGACATCGCAGTCCACACCAGTTGAGGAGCAGCTGGTGTACGGAGCCCTAAGTGACAGCTATTTAAAAAGCCAAGTTTTTGTGTACGTTGTCCAAACCAATTTGAAGTCAATGAACATCTTCCACTGACTTAAAAGACCAGGCTATGCAGATCAGGGCAAGTACAGTTAGACGTGAAGGACTCTACAGCATCTAGGTATAACGTTCCTGTAAATAGCGTTGGGAATGACACGCACAGATCCCTCATGTTGCTTTAAGACTTCCTGCATCCAGGACCAGCTCTCGGCTGTCCCCAGCACAAGCTACGACCCAACAGCTAGCAAAGCCGTTATGCAGACTTGCCATGAGACAATAAAACCCACCCTTGCTGCTGACCCCTCTGCTCAAATTTGCAGGCAGAGAAATGCAGAAGAAAGAAGCGATCGCTGAGCTGGTGTGGGGTGTCTCTGTGGAATGTCAGGGGCTGAACGAGCCTGAGAACCTGAGGCTGGAGCATCTTTGGCCATGCACTTGAGCCATCAACACTGGTAGCCTGGTAATGAGCAGAGTGGAAGAAGAGCAATGCACCAGGCTTCTTCAAGCACCAACAGGTACAAAGGAGGAATGGGTGGTTTGACACACAGCACGCAACCCTTCAGAACGTCGGTTTAATTTATTCTCATCAGTTCAATTTACAATAAAAAAGGCCTAAGCCAGATTTTCCAGCGTACTAAATTACCCCTACAATGGAATCCTTCTCACTCCATCCGTAAAGTACCACCAACGTTTGCACTCTCGGTTTGCACTGCCAATCTGGTGTGTGCACATGTTGGTATTTACACAGATGGCAGAACATTCTGAGGGGCTAATTTAATACCTTTGAAAAAAAAGCCAGACTAAGCTTCTGGTCCTTGGTATATCACGCACTGATTTCTAGATCTCAGGCCCTTCCCAAAAGGCCTTACATACCCATGAATAGAGAGCAATACAATGAAATCCCGTTCAGGCTTTGTAGCAGCGTAGTCTTTATCCTTCAGCCTGATAGGTCTCACCTCTCACATTCTGCTCTACATCTGCAGATAACTGGGGTGTTTGTGGTTAGCTATCCTCATATTTTCCATGCCATCAGACAGAAATGAATTGCTGTGGTTCTGGGGCATTAATTAAACCCAAGATTCTTGGCTCTGCATCTGGATTCATGACCTTTCCCATGTCAAGAAAGAAGCGCACAATGCTAATAAAAATATCGGGGGAGACAGTATGAATTGTTGTCTGACTATGTGAAGTTTCATGCTATAAATCCAAACGTACCCTCAGAGGCCTCAGAGGATCTATTCTTGCTTTCCCACAAGCAACATTTGTTTCCACACTCCAGATCCGGACTGGCTTTGCACACTCTCCCTGCCTTCCTTTGTGCCCTTAGATCCCACTATCTGCTGGCATTCTAACATCAAGCATTTTCCTGACCTGGGTGCTAGAATTTCTCCCACTCCCAGCTCACCTTGGAAAGGAGGGACAACCCCATCTCCCCTTCACGCTTCTCCATCATGACAGACATTAGCTGCTGCCGTTCCAAGGCAATGTGCATGGCTGTGTCCCCATCCTCATCTTCAGCATTGACATCACTGCCTTCGCTCACCAGCAGTTGCACCATCCCTACGTGTCCCTGGATGACAGCCAGGTGCAGAGGCGTCTGGTTACGGTTGTTCTTGAGGTTGACATCACAGCGACCCTTGAAGAGAAGAATTGCATCAGAGTGAGCTGTTGCTGCTGAGTTTGGACAGATGGGAGTTGTTGGTGGTGGTGGTTTTGTTTTGTTTCTTACCTCTTTGATGAGAATTTCTGCTACTTCTTGGTGATTATTGAGAGCAGCAAGGTGCAGGGCAGTGAAGCCATCTTCCTTTTTGGAATCAACCAGCTGCCGAGCTCTTGCCAGAATCTTCTTTATGGCTCTAGAGTGTTGGAAGTTAACAGAGATAGAAGAGTTACTTTGCCAGGAAGGAAAACAATGCAGAAGAGACAGGCTTCTGCTCAGTAGTTATGAATGTTCATGTTTTAATAGGCAGCATCATGAGCTGGCACCTGTGATGCAGAACACTCCCTCTATCTCACAGATTGAATTACAAGAATAAAACAAGAGCCCTCAGCTATCATTTAATAAAGCAGGGTAAACTCACACTGCTATAAAAACAATGAGCAAATTTATCCTTGGAAGAATTCCAGAGGCTCTCAGCTAGACACATGCTTTTCAAGTACCGTTTACTACAAACCTTTGCCTGTCCTTCCATGCGTGAACCCAAACATCTAAGGAGACTATTCAGAAGTAGACAGATTTCCTAGTCAAGCTAGGTAGGTATGAGAAAGATGGGATAGGGAAAGGAGGCAGCAGTTCCTGTGAATGCATGAAGGAGGGAAGGAGGGCAACAGCTATACCTAGCCATATCCTAAACCCAAGAAACGTATAACCAACCATTTCCTTCCTAGCCACCTAGAACTACATCTGCTACCTTCTTACTGTTAAGACAGCAAGCATGAGTTAACATCTGTAAAAGCAGTAAAAAAATGAAAAAGGTCACTTACAGCTTGTTGCCTTTCAGAGCAGAATAGTGGAGCAAGTTGAAGCCTTGACAATTCTGGACAGTGAAGTCTATGTTGGGTACTTCAGTGAGAATCTCAATAACGACTTTGTAATCTGCAGTGATAGCATAATGCAGGGGGGTGTCTCCCTGGGAATCCTATACAAGGACACCAAAGCAGAATAGGGGTTACCTACGTCAGAGCGTCAAATGGAAGAGCTCACCCCGACGTACAGTTGAAGACAAGAACATATGTCGTGTCACCAGCTCACATCAACTCCAGGCTAAACATTCAAATGTCACTGGCATCCACAGCAGTTTCACAGCCTTTGTGAAATAATTTCCCCAGGGCTTGAAACCAGCTGCCGAGCAGACACGTGCTAACGTTCCTAAGTAGCTTTGAGAGACCGACCCAGCACAGTCCAGTCCCACCATCACACAAGCACGCCCTAAAAATGGGATGGGTCCAATTCACCATCACTGCCCTATGAGTTACTAAATGCCAGTCTTAAAAAAATCTCATCACTCCTCATTGCTGTGAACAGGAGCGTTTCAACACCACACATTAGTGGCAGGTCAGCTCTCACTGGAAGCCCGAGTCCAGCACAGCAGAGAGAATGCTACTGGGTCGAGCTGAGCAGACTCACAATGATGAAGGGTCAGACCCAAACCTGGAATTGCAGAGTACTCAAGTTAGAGGAACTCTTCCTCTGTGCAATGCACGGTAGTGCATTTTATGAGAATGACCTTCTATAAAGCAACAAATGGTTTAAGACATAAAGAAGCACACCTCCCCGCCTCAAAACGCCCCCCAAATCCAAACACATGCCCCCATGCACCCTGCCAAACCCCACAAACCCCAAAACTTACTGGGAGGTTGACATCACAGTTGAGCTCACAGAGGGTCCGCACCACCTCTGTGAATCCTTGACTGACAGCAACATACAACGCTGTGCACTTTGCGTTGTTGAGCAGGTCTGCGCTGGCTCCTTTACCAATAAGTACACGGGCAACTTCAGCTTGGTTTCTGATTTAAAAGCAAGGAGTAAGGCAGATTAGAGTCAATACCGTGCAGACCGTAAATGCTTCCTCCTTGCAAGGCATTAGAACTTCTCGGGTTTTGTATCCTCTCAACCTCATCCCACCTCATCTTAGTATTAGAACAAAAAAAACAAACCACACAACAAAACTTTCCTAATTTGTCCTCTAGAATTTGCTCTCTCTTTGCTTTAAACCAACAGGAATCTCCCACTCTTAATGATGAATTCTTCCCTGGGAACTGACAACACAATTCAACCTTTCACCTTGCTCTGGAAAACACGTACACTTACAGAAACCAAACAAACAAACTAATCCCAAACAAACAAACAACACCCCACCCCCCTGAAAAAGTTCTAATCGCCAAAACTTCCTTATCACTTGTTCTGATTCCAAACAAAATTTCTAGCCCGGGAGCTGACCTGGCTGCGGAGGTTAAACTAGTGCACAAAGAAAAGCACCCGCGGCCCTGAAGCTCAAAGGCCAATTTCCAATATAAGGTAAAATCAGAGAAAAGCCTCCATCAGCCACAACCCTTCGCACCGACTGCCCATCTACACCTAGAAATGTCCTTCTGCAGCCCTTTAGGTCTTGTATCAGGGACAGCAAGAAGAAAGACACCCTACCCAAAAGCTGCGTAGTGCAGTGCTGTATCCCCCTCTTCATCCCTTAGGTTGACAGTGGCGTGGGCCTGCAGCAAAATCTTCACGACATCCAGGTGCCCCTGATAAGAGGCAATCTGCAGGGCAGTCCTACCTTGGTTCTTCGCGTCGACCTGCAGGAAGGGCAGAGAGCCAGCCAGCAGCTTGGTTAGGAAAGACCTTGCCTTGTGGGCAGGCCTCAGCTCTGTTCTAGAGCAGGCCTAGCAGGATGGAAGTCGCTAGCTGCAGAGCAGTTGCGGGCTCAGAAATGCTAAGCAGAATCCGTGCCCTGCTGGCTCCGCTTTCTGTACATCAACTACAAGGCTGACCTTGTCCCAGAATACTTCTGAAGGGGAAGGGCACAGCACATTTAGTCAAGAAGGGAAAAGCAAGCGAACAGAGCTGGAAGCCAGGGCTCTAATTGCAGCTCTGATGCCAAATCCCTCTATGCCTGCAAGCAGAATTCTTCTTGACATCTCTGCCAACAATTCCTTTCCCAATAGGAAAACGTGTGAGGAGATCAAATTAGCTCTGCACGAGGCTTTGAAGACGCCAAGTCCCCATTGTTCTATGTTACTCCAGGTACTTTACTGGGCACAACAGCTGGAGGGTATATCATGGTGTTGAAGTGTTGCAGTGAGATTTTTTGAGAATTAAAGGGACTGAAGAACAAAGAGAGGCTGTATGAAAGGCAAGGAAAAAAAAGGAAGAGAAGCTGTTGAAATCAGCGGGAGGCTAAGGAGAAGAGATGAAGGAGCTAGCAAAACCTCATCAGACTGGCAAGGAGAACAAAGGGGTTTTTTCCTACAGCTGGTTCTATGCAGCAGGCAGGACAGGACAGGCAAGACTTCCCTTGATTCACTCAAAATGCTGCGTGAGTAATTTAGCCAAGGAGGCATTAGAGGCCACTGTGTTATTCTTCCATTTATACAGAAAGACAATGCTGATAAGCTGGAAAGGCCTTGGCAAGCAATTCCAACTTGCACTACTAAGTGAGCCTCAAATCCAGCCTCCTCTTGCTGTTTCTAACACTCTAATAGAAATAACTGATTTATTAACATAAATACTAGAATAGAAATAGAAATCTAATAAAAATAACTAGTAACATAACGGATTCCTGACTCTTGGCACTTTCTTATCTGGGATAAATTCCACAACTCCAGGTATTTCTCTATCCTCCCATCTCCAGAGGTCCCATTCACTTTACAAACAAAGAACTATAATAAACACCTGACAAGTAATCACTACATCAGCTTCACAGGGCTTCCTTCAGAACTGATCCTAGTTTTCCTGGTTCATGCATCCAGCTGCTCCTGCCAGCTGTGCAGACATCGCCCCGTTTTGTTAACAATGGTTTCCAAGGACACTGCTGAAATACTTTGTTCTCTTGTTCTCCTTTTTAAACCTGGTTATAAACCCTGTACCCCTCACTGAAGGGGCTTGAACCTTCAAAGACGCAGCGTGAAAGAGCAGTGATTTGAGTGGATGTGATCCTAGCAGTTTGGCACTCTGCAGGCACATAAACTGTTCAGCAACAAGTCAAGCCCAGTTCCCTGCTCCAGTCAGACATGAGATAAGACATTGCACAGACACACAAAGCATCAGGATCTGGGCAGTTTTCTCTTTCCTGACTCCAACAATACCATTTTGCAAGGTCATCTAAGGACACATTCAGCCAGACACAACCCACAGCTTTCTTTTCAAACAGAGGCTAGATACTCGGGACATCCTGCTGCTGTTTTCATATAGATAAACACCTCTCCCTCTAATTCCACAGGTACAGTATCCATATAGGAAATCTGGGAAAAGCCAGCTTTGGAAATGTGCTCTAAGCACTTAACTCTAGTTCAGATTTAATGCCACAAACTGGAGCCGTGCATATTTAACACACAAATTTAATCCTAAATTGCAGCAAAAATGATTTTCCAGCTATTAGGAGCTAATACTAGGTCTGAAAAATCTATTATTTTTCTCCCATCCTCTTCCCCACTTGACTACAAAAGTTTATGACAGTATTTTAAAGAACAACAACAACAAATAACCATTCAGGATGTCTCCAAAAAGTAACCGTTCGGGATGTTTCCAAAACTTGCCTTGTCTGGGTACTTCTGAAGGAGCTCCCGAACTTTAGCTGCGTTGTTGAGCGCTGCACAAATGACCAGGCAGCCTGCATGCTCTGACTCTGTCTTCTGCGACAGCAGTTTCTCCAGTACAGTAATCAAAGTACCTGGTAGGGATGAGAAACAGCCACAGGTTAAGAGGGCCAAAGAGCAGGTGTACACGTGCATACAGTTGGCACGGAACAGCTGTGTAACCACAGCATGGGCCTGCTGTGCCTCTACCACTCAGCTCACACAAACAGCATTGCAGACTTGTGGCTTACACAGAACTTTCGCTTTACAAGTCTGACGTTTTGAGAACCCAAAAGACTCGAGAGCCTGCTACAGAAGACCAGAAATTTACTACTAAAAGGCAAATAATCTGAAGAGGAATGCATGGTTTCGGAAAGGATGCCGTAGGGAAGAAATACAGGTCTTTTCAGATGGGCCCTCTAATTACAGACTTTTGAGTGCTTGAGAGGACAGAGGTGTTTCAGTTGTCCAGACAGAGCAAAGTTAAAAAGCTTGGACCCGTATGCAAGTTCTCCCTGAAATCTAACTTGAGCAAACAGTTTAAGACTCATGTACAAACCAAAAAAAAAATGGCAGGTCTGTCCTCCCTCCCCCACGATCCTGACATCTAAAAGAACTAAGTATGGTGAGGCCACAAAAAATTTCCAAGCAGATGTACAAAACAGACAAAACCCTCTCTACACACCATGTGATGCCAAATTCAATTTCAGGGTGGACTGGGCAAAATAATTGTTGGTTTGATGACACCTCCACCCAAGGACGTGGGAATATTTCACAATATTTCAAGAATTAGTATTCTCCTACAGGAAACGCAGCAGGACAGAGGAGGAAATTGAGACAGATCAAGGCAGAAGCAAATGCTGAACCTAGGGCAGCGCTACGGTTAGTATTCCTGAGTCCTAAATTCTGTATTTTGCTGTTAAGGCCAGCTTTGCTTCCCCAGTAAGGCACAGCTTGGTTTTGGAGCCCTGCCCAGGGAAGAGCAGGCAGCTGGAGTTTAACACCGTCCAAAGAGTGTGGTGGTTGTCACACCAGAGCAACCATTTCACAGCCCCTGACAGATCAGACGTCAATGTTCTCACTATCTCACTTTTGGATTCCTTCGCATTCTCCGTTGTCATGAGGTTTGCTTCCTCATCTCTCTGATAGGCTGTCAGGCAAGCTGGGTTAAACGTCCAGGACTGCCCTCCAACCGACACTCGCAAATCTCCATCCCCATAGACTTTGATCACTTTGCCGATGTGCCCTAGGGTCTGCAACGGAAAGAGAGAAGTGATTTTTAAAAGGGAAGAGGCAGCATGCTTTGCATCTCAGAACCAATGCAATGCTTCTAAGGGTGGTTTCGCAGGCGGCACTCCTGCTGTGTGAAAAGAAGCACTGAACAGTGACACACTCACAGACAGCTTCCTCTTCAAGGACACCAGAGGGTTCTGAGCAGTTTCTCTATTACTGGTTTTACGTAACAAGGGTTTCCCAGACACATTACAAATGTCTGGAGAGGAAGGTGGTGAGACAACAAAACATGGTCTGAAGAACCTTGAGAGAGCAGATAAAATTGGGAAAGGTTTCCTCTGCGCATTTATTGCTCCTGGAGGACACCTGTATTCTGCTTTTTAGCCGTACTGGTCTGATCAGACCGTTTTTCCACTTGGACACTTTCCTGCCTCATTCCAGAGAATCAGGGAGGGTGTAAGAGGACTTGTTTGCTTTGGTTAGTGAAACCTCTTATCTGACTGACCAGTAGCCAAATCCTTTGTCAGATTCCCCATTTACCCGCTTTGCTTTGGGTGCTGCCAACAGGATCACACTACCGATAGCCAACAGCACTCGGCAAAGTTTATTTCGCAAGGCCTCAGCACTCCAGAAAGGTCTGTGCGCCCCCTGACCACCACGAATACTTGGAGGCAAGGCAAGCCCAGTGACTAGGACTAACTGCTTGGGAAAACTCAGGAAGTTACTGGACTGTCCTGGAACTGGTGCGCACTCACAGGTGCCATTTCATCTGTCCACTCCCCATGACCAGGTTGGAATCGCTTCACTGTTTCCATATCATCTATCACCCGGACAACATCACCAACCCAAAAGGTGTTGAGCTACAAGAAAAAGAAAGTCATAAGCTTTTGGGGGACGAAGCTAGAAAAAAAAAAAAAAAAAAAACCCTCCACCCCACCCCCACCCTCAGAAAACCCAACCAACCAAGCAGCCCATTGACTCAAAAAACAAGGCATTACAAAACATAACTACGACTACCAAGAAATCTGTAATTGCTGCACTGCAAAATAAACACAGTCCAAGGGCTGGGGTATTTCTGTTTTAAGCCAAGTGCACATTTATTTTTTTATTTGAGACAGAATATTTTTCTTCTCTTCTTTCTTCTTCAAACCATTTAGAATACCAGTACAAAGTACAGATGGAAGTTGCCTTGGTCCATCTCCTCCCTATACCTGACTTGGCACTGGAGATTTTAATTCATTTTAATAAGGAAGTTAAATCTGTGAGTTATTTAAAACAGAAAAGGGAAAGCAGAGTTTATCTGCACTGGTAATTTGCCAGATGCTCCCTCTGCTCACTGAGCTAAGAAGGGAGCACTGTCAAAACACACTTTCCAAAGCAGACTAATTCTGCACAAAACAGTCTGACACTGCATTTTCCATTGGTGTTGGAGTTTTTAGCATTGTGACCTTGTTCAGGTCTTTCAGAATTCTGTACTCTTCCAGCAGCTCTCTATACCCGCTAGCCCTGTTCCTAATCATCCACATTTCAAGTCCTCAGACCAGTGGGGAAGGCCAGAGCTATGAGCGTTAGAAATGCAGACACAAAATTAGAGGAGCTGGATTAAAGACTCAGGTCATCCAGGAGAATGTGAGAGAAGCAAGACAAAGAAAGATGCAAGAAGGAGAATAACATGAAGACACAAGAACAAGGAAGAAAACAAAATCAAATGGAAATGATGTGGAAGAAGGTTCGCCGCAGATGAAAGGCAGCTGCAGAAGGATGAGCTACTGTAGGTCTACTGTTACCACTCTTATCAAAGAAGCTGAAATTAAGAAATGGAATTTACCTTAAGAACTTACAACATTTGAAATGCAAAGGTTCACAAAACTGGACAGCCTGGTAGCCCAACTCCCACTGCCTGCAACCATCTGTCTTAGCTCTGACGGCTTGCAGGAAATTCTGCCTAGAACCACTGCTTTTGCAGTAGCAGTATATTTCTCCGGCACTTGCTTGAGACGCATTGTGTCCTAACACAGCAGGCTACATCGACAGCTATTCCCTGCAGCATTTCTAGTTCTGGCCAAGCTCACCTATCAGCACCTACCTTAGTCAGAGCTCCAGGATGGAAAGTCCAGCGGGTTTCACTGTTGAACTGGACCCTCACGTCCCCTCTGTCCGTGATTCTGTGCACAGTCCCTGTCTGGCCAATGAACTTTTGATGGGGGGGAAAAAAAAAGTAGGGGAAACCCCCTAAATAAATCACATTGCTTAATAGTGGGGAAAGCAGGCATCCAAGGCATAGATGGCTAAATTACCCACCGTTTCCAACTCACAGACTAACAGCGCTCCCGAACCTGCTTTAAATGAGATGCAGTCATTGTTTTTCTGCAGAAGGAGGGAAAGGCTGCTTAAGAAGCTCCTCTAAAGCAGCAGCATACTGGGGGAAGAGGGCAATAGGAATACAAAGTGTGAATATCCTTGAAAACCCAGCACAAATTGACCTCCTCTTCACAAATGACAAAGGTGGGCAGAGACTACAACATTGTTCTGCAGTGTAACACCAGCAAGGCATGCTCTATGGGGACAAAAAAAAAGCGGGCACGGTAGAGGACACTACAGAAAACAAAGCGTAATTGTGTAGTGCGGTATTCTCTATCTGTTGATTCTGGCAGGTCCTGAGCAGCTGATAGTTTTTTGGAGGCAAAAAGTACCAATTTCTGAGACGGCAGGAAGTTACTGTTTCTCTGTTTAATATCGCTTTCTACACCTGCATTCACCAACAACAGGAATTCAGAAGTGCAGAGGTGTAACAAGCTAGCAGGCTACGTTAGCTACACAGCAACATTCAAAAACTGTAGTTTTGGGGATGAAGGCCTTAGCTGGAACAAAAAATTCACGGCTCCACTGACAGCCACCTTAAAGTTTGTGCCAGAAGACAGTAAGTCCCTGCCTGCCAGGCTAAAAAAACCAGACCAAGGCTCAGTTAATAGATTCCCACGTTGAAACTGAAATGACATCGTTTGTCTTGACATTTTAAAGTGTGATTTCAAAGACCGCTCACCTATAGCGCAGGTTGGGCTAATATACATATATAACAGATCTTTATCATTTTATAGCACTGCTTCATACACCAAGGCTTCAGACAGCTGTCTTGGAATCAGACCTGCAGGTCATTCAGTTTACTGACTCAAGAGTAGCAGGCATTTGGGTCCCTTGGGGCTATACACTCCTCTCCCTCTCCAAAAATCCACTTTTACACAAGTTACTAATACAGGCTCAGAGACAGGTCTTATTACTGTAATGGCAGTATCAAAACGTGATTTTGTCTTGCAGGAAATCTACTGCACAAGAGCAGTACTGCCTGCTTCAACATGTAAAGGTAATTTACTCTATTTCGGGCAGTATCTGTTAAATATCAAAAGCCAAGCAAGTTGACTTAGGGAAAAACAAAAAGCACAGACCTTTTAATTTAAATGGTCTTTGGTTTTAATTTATTCATTTAGCTCTTACCATTTCATCTGAATGTAAGCCCACACTGAATGCTCACAACCACCTGGAGACTTACTTCCACGATGGCCCCCTGAGATGCTGTATTACAGTAATAAGTGTCATTTCTATCCTCACTTCCTCTACAATCTGAGGTTTCTTTTAGACAACAGGTGACAACAGACTGATAGCTCTGCAAACTAAAGACAAGACAACAGGCTAAACTCCAAGAACATCATATGGGCCAAGAAATTTTAGCCCTGCCCAGGGATAGAGCCCACTGTTGACAAAACACATAACTTTCTTTACTAGTAATGCACAGTACAAAAGAAGCCAAACAGGGAACAGATCCAGAACTCCAAGCACAAGATCCACGGCTCGTTTAAAAACAAACAAATCAGCCATTATTTTCTTGCACTGGCTTCCAGGACTCTTGGAAATTATGCAGGGCTCCACAAGGCAATTCTCATACAACACAGATTCATCTGCGCCTAAAAATAAATTTGTCTCCAACGTCCTATAACTAAAGAATTTGTATTCGTGACTCAGTCAACACAATAGAAATGTAGAAGGTAACACGCTACACAAAGATGTTCTGGTAACTTCCCAGCCTGTGCCTACTTATGTAACCTGAGCTAGTGACTGACAGGTTCCTGAGCGAGCAGGAGCAAGCAGAAGCATACCTCAGCCATTTTAGGATTCCAGCCACCATGGCCCTCCTGCATCTCCCGCAAGATGTCAATGTCCAGCAGGCACTTCACTTTGTCCCCATGCTGGAACGGGTGCCTGTCCGTGCTTTCTTTCCTCTGCAGTTCAGCTGGTTTTCCTGAAGAGAAGAATGACACCACCCACAGACATGCAGGGTGCAACAATAAGCTTTGTAACAAGGGCTGCAAATTAACACAGGTTTAATGGGGGCAGAACAGCGCGAAAGCCCCTTTCTGTCGTGGAGCAAGCCCTACACATTCTCTGGGGCAGCACTACGTAGAGAGATCAAGAGGATTTAGCTCTAACTGGATATTGATATGGGTTAAACATGAGGTAGTTCTAACAAGACACAATTTCATCGCTTCCCAGAGAGGGGAATGCCTCTGAATGACGTCTCTCGTGCCATGTCAGACATCAGTAGCTGTTCTTAGCAACTCAGACACCCACAACTGTTGTTCAGCAGACACACCCACACAGTACTCAAAATAAGTTCTCTTCCGTAGGCAGCCGCACAGCTTGCTTCACGGAGTGCCGTACCCTCCTAGCCCTCCTGTGTAGCAAGGAAATAAGCTCCCCATCCAACCCTTCCCTTCCCTTGTGCTCTTGCCAAGCTGCTCAGGGAGAGAAAGAATGAGAAAGACCTGATTCTGGTGCTGCAAACTGAAGAACGGACCTCTCTGTTTTCCTTCAGGGAAGCAAAATATGGGCCCCACACCTCATCAAAAAAAAATACAACTAAATTACACCTTAGTAAAAAAAAAAAAAGCTGCAAGTCCAAAACCACAAGTGGTTTCCCTGGTTTCACTAGAGGTAAAAGGAAAGGTGGATTGCAGCAAGTAGCCAATAGAGACATCAGCTTTTTCTAATCTCTCTGCTGGGCAAGTATTTGGCAGCTCCATTCTCAGAATCTCTCTTTTGTCACATTCCCCTTCCATACACTTTTTGGTCCACCAGAACAACAACATTTGCTCTCTAAAAGCACAATAAACACCAGTCGGACCAGTGCTTGCCTGAAGAATAAAAAACCTCCGGATTAACAGAACTGACACCGGGGTGAATTCTCTGCTGACAGATGCAGGCATTCCCAAGGGAGTTCCATGCATTTGCAGCAGACAAGAAGTTGCCTTGGCAGGAGATCCCTCCTCGGGATACAGCTGTGGGCATCTGATGGTCTTACACAACCTTACCACTGAAAGGCCAAACTGCTTTACTAACCACTCTGAAATAAAGCAATATGGTCACACACTGACCACTTCTTAAAAATGGTGCACATTATGTGGGAACTTTAGAAAACCACCTGTTGGTTTTCTGTCTTCCAAGCAAAATGGCTTTAGCGTCACAATACAGCAGCGCGAATCAGAATTTCTCAGCAGCAGACTTGTCTCTACGCACCTAATTTTGGGAGATGCTCTTTGTAGTAAAAGCCACCAGACGCCTCCACAGTACATTTCAGGTCCACTTTTCCCTTGTGCCCAACTCTGTAGACGTTTGTGGTACCATCAGACCACGTGACGCTGGCCACGCTGCGTCCCGTCTCTACATCCCAGCCGCGAATATCAACCACGCGTCCAGTTTTACCTTCACCGCCTGATGGGAAAAACGAGGGGAAAAAATTGTCCAGCTGCATTTTCACTTAGACCAACGTACAGAAACTCACCTGACACTGGGATGTTTACTGAGATGTAATTTAACGGCATTTTTATCTTAACTAAGTAAAAAACAAGGAAAAAACTTATCAGTTGTCCAACTATTCACCACAGAGGAGCAGGCACAGAGCCAAAAGTCAGTAGCTGGGGCAGATGGAATTCTGACAGAGAGGTTGCTGCCGGGCAGGGTTTCTGTG